ACTATATATAAATATATATGCATATCGTGACAAGACAGGCTAATTAATCCATAAAATATTTGCCCACAATGCCAAAATAAAGCTATTATTGAACAGGCTACTTAACACATAGCAAGGCTGGCACGGTTCCTGAATGAGACCAGATGGAAATGTATATGCACTTTTGTCTATGTGCCTGGCAAAGAGGAGAGTATGGAGAAGGTGTCTTATGGCTGGGCGTGAAGAAAGATAATGCAGTATCACTGCAATCTTAGATGTTTCAGCATGGTCCTCCTAAGTGCTCTGGCACCACCACAGTTAAGCTATTACTTCTTTGCTTAAAGCTTCTTTTTGGAGGTCCAACACCATAACTCATGAGGAACACCATGCTAGATGAGTCTCTTCCATCCTGACAGGGCTAACAGGTTCCCCTCAGCAGAAGGAGCTCCTCCTCTCCATCAGCATTCCTCCTCACCACTGCTAAAGGGGTCTTTTCTGATTTGTTTTGAAAGAGAAAAATACTCGGGGAGTGGGCAGCTGCACAAGACTAAATGTACCAACCAATAATATTAATTCACACCACTCTATAAAACAGTCCTGAATTACAGTTATCCTAGTTTCTTCTGGGAATGCTCTTGTTAATAAACAAACAAAAGCATAAAAACAAATACGTACAGTCTCTGTTTGGGCTTTTCAGTGCCAAGTGCACAAATAAAAATAAAAAAAGTGGAAGGCAATGGTGGCAACCAGCCACACCTGGAGTAAGTACAGGAGATGGTCATGGGTACAAGGAGGGATAACCCTGCCTGCAGTGGGGAGAGGAAGTCGCTGATGGGTGATGAGGATTAGGACCCACAGCAAGGCCCTGGAGAAGCTTAGGAACCTGAGCCTGGATGGACTCCCAACAGATATCAGCCAGTCACTGGGGAAGAACAAAAAAGCGACTCTTAGGCTGAGATTTACAGCATAGAAAGTCCAACCGGATGTGAAGCACTCCAAGTTTAAAAATGCTTTTATCCAGCACTCTCCCCACCTAGTTTCACTGCTACATCACTCACAGCATAACCCAGAGACGATTACTTTTTCTGCTGATGTTTTGCATTAATTATACATTCTTCAAGGGTGTTTTTAAAACTCAGACAGGGAGTAATAGTTTGCCCTGTACCTTTTGTTAAGCAATAAAGACAGACAACAGCTGGGTTTCATCGTACTAAACATTCCCTCCACATCTCCTCTCTCCCCATCCCAAAGGAAACGAGATATACCCCTCCCCTCACAAAGCATAGTTTTCCCAGACCCCTTGGAAAGGACTGCCATGACTAAGCAAGCATCATAGGCAAACTATCTGCTACTGGATTTTTATCTCAACTAGAACAAATTTAAACTTAAGAACGCTGCTTTTCCTGCAAGCTGAATCCTGCAGAGTGCTATAGAACCCTTCACTTCATGTGCAGGATGAGGGACTCACTTTAAAGCCCTTTTATGCTGAGAATGTCCTGAATTTGGCCCCACCATGGCAGTCAAGATACTCACAACTAAGTTTGTCAGCCCTATTTTAAGAGTAGTGAACACAATGAATTACTCATTAAAAAAAAAGAAAAAGGAAAAAGAAGCAACCCCCAAATGATGCAAATACTTTGAAGAAATCAGAACAGGTATTGGGTATTGCAGCTAACTAGGTCTTCAAGGAGTTAATGAAGAACTCTCTCTAACATCCAGCTTCCAAGGCAAAGCCTTCCCGCACACTTGTGATAATCAAAAGATACTGAAAACCAATTCTACTTCATTCTGGTATAACTGCGGCAGAGCCGCTAGAGGAGTTGCAACCATTACGTAAGATGAGGCACCACCACAGTGGGGCCTGCTGCTTCCAATGGATTCTAACCAGTCTTTTTTATAGATTTCAGCTACCTTTCATTTTAGGAATTAGCCACAATTTCCAAGGAGATCCACAAGCAATTTCCTGCACATCTTGAGCCATACTGCTGCAAGATTGCACTAGAAAGAGAACATAATTTAAAAGTAGTCAACAAAGGGCAGACGACACACTAAAAAGTTCCGTTAAGCAAGAGACAGAGACAACCATTTCATGTAAAAACAGATAAATGTCGATGCTCTCTAGATTTGCTTGACCACTACACAGAGCACAGGCATCCACTGGAAAACCCAAAAGTGGTTCCCTCCAAACCCCCAAATACTGCATGATTCTATTAACAAACAGCACATCAGTGTGCTGAAAACTTCTTCAGTCAAAGAAAAAATTATGTAGCAGACCTGAGAGGATAGTGGTCTGCAGGGAGGATCCTGCTCAGAGGAACCTAGTGTGCCCTTGAGTAGAGGGTTGTTCACTGAGAGGAGGATCTCAGCTAGTGACAGCACAGGCACATTTGTAACTTCTATCCAGTTCGCATTAGTTTCAAGATCTTCAGCAGAAAGCATGGGAAAAAATTCCTCATTTTTGAATGTGTGCATGTTTGGCTTTGAAGGAAGTCTCTCAACTAAATATTATTGAAACAGCAGATGGCAAAATGCAAACTTTATGAAAGGGAAGGCTGCCTTGAGCGGCAGGTTACCGTTTGCATGGAAGAGCTGTGCAAGGTAAGGAGAGGGAGAAAGAGAAGAGTCAGAAGTTGAGACGCGTATTTCTAGCTGAACAACTTGGTTAGAAAATGATGACCATGTCTATAAACGTAATCTTTCATGTGCTGGCATGGAGATATGAAAGAGCTGTGAACTGGTGTGAAAACTAAAATACCTAGAGGGACTAATAAGTCCCTACGGGGATCCCAGTTCCTTAAATGCCTGCAAGGGATAATTGCAGAGAACTGCAACAGGACTGAATCAATGCCATTTTCCCCGGAAAATAAATTAAAAAAAAGTACTGCTGCCTCCGATTACGTTATTTTGAAAAGACTGGCTACTTTCCTCTTCTCTCCCCCAGCTCAAAAGTCCACTGCAATCCACTAGAAATATGTCCAGAAGATTATGGTGCAGCTGAAAGCCAGAAGCATATGAAATTATATATTTACTGGTGCTGTGTCAGATAATATCTGAGAGGAGAGGTAACAGGGATTCAGCCTTACAGTCCTTATTAGCATTTTTGGGCTGTTTAAAGGAGCTATCTAATTGTATCATTGTTGCCAGGTCCTTAAAACTGTATATATCCATGATAAAGGAATATACTTAATCTTGATCACAAGGCTCCAAGCCCTACCTGACTGTCCTGTGACATGCAAACTTATTGCCTTTAAACAGGAATCAGAAAAAAAGAAATAGCGATGCACCATTACCCATAGCATTATATTGCTCAGGAACAGATGTTAATCAATTTTATGGAATGTTTTAAGTAACATGCAAGCACTTTTGCACAGAACTGTCTGCATAATAGAGATTTCAGCCACGCAAATACAGGAGATAAGCCTTTATCTTGACTGGGAGAGTTATGTCTATTTTGATTAAAACGAAAGGGGTTGCACATTCAAGCAATTTTATTCCCTTGGAAGTATGTCATTTCCAGGCTGCTATTACATATGGTCCTGTGACAAAAGGGAATGGAAATAACCTTGCTCTTTATTGTAATGTTCTCCTTGTGCAAATGTTCATGCACATAACTCATGAACTACACATGTAGGATGTCCATTCCATCCTCACAGATTCCTGAATAGACAAGAACTGCACTCTTTATTTCAGCTGTGCTAGAAGAACAGTACATTTGGAGAAAGGACTGACCTTACACTCTGTAAGTAATCTGTGCTGTACAATCTCTCATGCAGTACCAACAGAACTTTAAAATCCCACATCACCCACAAGTACAAGGAAAAAGGTGCCCCATCATCTCGATTCATATAAAAGTAGTAGCTGTGCCATCATGCTGGGAGTAATTCTGGTCATTAAACTTCTTGGTCCTTGAATGTCATCAGGAGTTATTTAGGCAACCATCCACTTGCACTTAAAAAGTACTGCATTTAACTCTCCATAAAATATGGATTTTATTGCAGCAGTGACAAGACTCCTTTCCACTGACACTGACCTCTACTGCTATTGCTTATCTCTTGACTCAACCTTTTGCATGAGAATGCACACATGTAGTATGCATACTGGTTTCCCTATGTGTGCATATAAGTAGGTGGTACATACATATGAATACATAAATAGTTTAATCTACCTGATATACAAAATATGTTACCAGCTCCTTAGAAACATTTACTACATAACCAAATTCAGTGCTTTCTTTCTGCAGTTATAGAACTTCTCTTCTGTAAAAATGCTTGTACGCCTACCTTCTTACTTCCCACCACCTCCACCACTTCCCAACCCCTTCCTTTATCAAATAAAAGACTTCACATTTGTCAATTCCTGTAACGTCCTCAGATCTGCCCGCTCTGCCCCCTTCCTTTCGCTGAGGGAGCGCCTCATTTCAACTGTGCTCTACATTCAGTTCTGCACTTTGCCTCGGATTCTGCTCATGATCCGAAGGCTTTTGCCCTGTATTCATGTCATAGCAAGTAAGCAGTGTCAAGAAATCCAGACAGACTTTTAAAATTATTATTATTTTCTAGTTATTCATTGTTCTGTTTTTGTTATTACTATCATTACAATTGTTCTCTTCCAAGCACACACGACCCTTCTCCCGCTCTCACCACCGCTCCTCGCCCGAAATGTCTTGCTGGCGATAACAATCCCCAGGAAAACGCCGCATCCCTTCGCCTGACTTCCAACGCCAGCAAATGTGGTCCCCACACGCCCCTGAGCGCCGGGCACACCGCGGAGCCCCGGGTGTGTGTGTGGGGGGTGTCACCCCAGTGCGGCAGTGGGGGGCAGAGCCCTCCGCAAGACAGCTGCCAACTTTGCAAAATAAGTGTTGTCATCCCCTCCCCCCCCACTAATTAGCATTCCCAATAAGCACGGCAAAAAGAAAAAAAAAAAAAAGAAAAAAAAGGAAAAAAAAAAAAAAGAAAAGAAGGTAACTGGCTGGTGGCAGCTGGAACTTGCCCCTACAGCGGTGCAGAGCATCTACTTACCGGCACGCAGGGGCGGCGTGGCCGAGCCTCACCCGGGTCGGCGGTGCGGCTCCCCAGCCCCTTCTTCCACTGCTCAGCCTCCCCGCCTCGCACTAAGTCTCCCGCTCGGCCAGCAGCACTTTTTAACTCCGGCATGCAGGCAGCCCGAGCCGATGGGGCTCTCTATCTGATTGGTTTCCATTCACTGCTCCTGATTAATAAAAAAAAAAAAAAAAAAAAAAAAAAAAGGAAGAGGGGGAGGAAGAAGGGGGGGAGGAAGAAGGGGGGGAGGGGGGGGGAAGAAAAGCCAAACTCCTCCCTCCTCGCTCGCCTCCCTGGCAGGCGCACACACACACCCGCACACACACGCACCCGCACCCCTGGCGCCGGCGCTGCGGCTGCCGGGGCCGCCGGAGCTGCCGCACTGGGGCCGTGCGGGCGCGGACCAGGCGCGCAGCGGGCGCGGAGCCGGATCCTCTGGGCGGGAAGAGATTTGCAACTGAATGCGGTGGGAGGGCAGAGGGGGAGGGTTGTGTTAGGGAGCCCCCCTTTCCCCCTCGAGAGCCGTTCCATGCTTGAGGTGGAGGACAGCCAGCTTCTTCCCAATCGTTTGATAGTGATAGCTAAAGCAGAATAAAAGCGGAGGAGGGGGAATAAAGAGGAGGCATGCTCCTGTGTTGTGAACCGTGTGTTTGTGTTGTGCGGCTTCGCATCCTCAGAACCGGTCTTAAGTCCTTCTCTCGGCACCTGAGATGCCCCGTTGGTCTTTTCCCACACTTCCCAGGAACTTCTGGACTTGATGAATCAAGAAATTTCAGTGAATTATTAATGGAGATGATACTTCGTGGGGGTTATCACATGTGGCGGTTTCTATGTGAATGGGAGGAGGATTTTCCACATGCCTGCCTTTGCTTGGTCCCTGTCTTCCCAGAGGTCTCCCCGCTCACAAGATTATGACTAATCTTAATGCAGAAGGAACTGAAATCTCAGCGTTTGTTGTGGAACTCATGGAGCCCCTCTGCACACATACAAACTCCCCCCTCCCCACGGCTCCCCTACATCTAACCTGAAATGGGGCTTTAGGTTTTTTTAATCTAAATATTAAATGACAAGATGGAAATTGCCTGCCAGTTTATTATTTACCTGACATGAATCTATTCCAATTCAGCTGCGCAGTGTCCCCTTAAGATTCATGGCAAATGTTGCAAGAAGTGAAGCTTTCTGCCATTTGCCTCTCACATCTCCACAGTCTTAGATTTGACCTTTATGATTTTTTTCCCCCTGCTAGTCAGCCTAAAGTCATCTTGTTTTTCTTTCTTTCTTTTTCCTTTCCTTTTTCTTCTCTTCCTTTCACAATTTCTGCTTGTTGTATGTCTTAAGGATGGGTCTGTGCTGGCTCTAAGCCACCTTTGTGTCCTGTTTCTGGACCATTTCAAGGCTTTTAGTATAATTTAAATATCCTGAGCACCAGGAATTCAGGTAGCAATCTTGCTGCTTGTGATGTAATTTCTACAGTGCTGCAGCACCATCTCCACAATGTAGCTGTTATCCCTGAAACTGGGCTTGTTGCAATATGTGGAATATGTAAAATTTTCTTAAGAAAGATTAGTCTTAATGTTTGATCTTTGCATACTTTCAAACCTAATCGACAAGAAGGGAGATTTAATCCATGAAACAGATAATATGCAAGCTCTAAGTGATGTCCAGGTGTTAGAGAAACAAATTACTTATTGGTAGAATTGTATTGTTAAAGTTTAGGACTTGACATGCCTCAGTGATCTCAGACCTAGGGGGAAGGTAACAAAGCTTGGGAAAAAGAATGTACCACTGATAGTGGACACAAAGAATGCAGAACTTGTGGACCACAAGGACTTCTAGCAGAACTCCCAAGACAAGGAAGAAAGTATTAAAGCTAACTCAGCAATTGTGCATGAAATCAGCTCCAACTGGGTAAAAGGTAAGTCTGGCATGGAGAGATTGCAACTACCAAGACATGGACCGCTGACCCAAGAAACCCATCAACTTAAGAGAAAGATCAAGTGTGGGATTAATTAGCATGAGAAGTGAGAGAATCATTAATCAATTGAAGATGGAATATTAATTAATAAGAGAACTATGTAACTAGTAGCCAATGAGCACTAATTCCTTTGTTGAAATGTGTAAAACTTTTGATAGTTGGTGTGCTTGATTTGTGGAATACCACTGAGCAGTCAGGCTTGTGCAACTGTGAAATAGATAATGTCCCTCTTGAGTGTGTTGCAACTTGCCTTGTTGCACACTGGATAACAAATCAGATTTTCGTGGACACCAGTCTCCTTAAGGAAGCCTTCAAGCTATTCCGCACTGTCACTGTGTTGGTAGAGTCCTTCTTCAGCCCAACATCAGGCTTTTAAGGAACTCTGTATATACCTGCAAAAGCCAAAACAGTGTAAAGAGGCTGGATTCCGCTTTATATATGTTTGTGAACTCTACTTAAGTAAATCACCTGGAAAAGCCAATTAGGTACCACTGCCATTAACTGGCCATTTTAGTCTTTCCATGGCACAGTTTTTCCAGCCTGCAGATCATTTTGATTGCTCTTTTTTGAACTTCTCCTATTTCTCTCATTATTTTTTTTTTCCAGCAATGACAAGTCAGAAGCTCAGTGAGTATTTGCAGAGTATTCCCACAGGAGCTTTCTGAATACAGTCTATCTCTCTGTTATGACACACCACATTTGCAGGCTTTCTTGTTCCCTGCCATATTGTATTGTCGATGTCTGATTCACTGCCCACTCTGACCCTGAGGTCTCCTTGGGCATTATTCATTCCTGGATGTGTCACATTCTGGTTAACTTTAATAAGGTTGCTTTTACTTATTTTTTTATTTTATTCTAATTTTTTTTATTAATTCCTTATCCAGGGTGGGATTATTTATGTCCAAGAAGGACTTTTGTATTTTTGTCAAAAAGGAAGAGTTAGTGCAGGAACTGTTGTGTTCTCCAGAGCATGTACATGAAATTTTAATCTTCTAATTAATTATATGAATTTGTGGTTGACAATTTTAAGTCTATAGCTGTGTGAAGAAAGCTTCTTTTCATTTTTGAAGGACATTGTCAGGGTGGGGCTTTTCTTCCTCAACCCTCTTCTATTGACAGCTTTAATGATATTAGAATTCACAGAGTAGATCACATTATTAGCCCATGAAGGGTCCTGTACCTGATACATTAGCTAAGTGAAAGGCTCAGCTAGGATTGTGAAAAGCAATCAAGATCAGCATTGGTTGAAAACAACTTCCCTGTCATGAAGTGGAGAATTTAAAAAGGCTCAAAGAAGGACTGAATGTTTATGAGTCTAGCTAAGACTCTAAAACTGGAAAGGAGATAAAAATTGTTTTCAGGTCGTGAACAAATCTCATATTTGGAAATCAGGATGAGTACTCCAGGTAAAACATACACCTACCTTGCCCAATCCTATCTTGTCTGTGGGTCTTCTCTGAAGCAAGCATTATTGCCCATGGACTGACACTGAATTAGCCAGAATGAAGATCCAAAGTGGCAACTTCTACCTCTGCAGTCTCTGTGGAATGCCCAAACCCTGCAGACTGTGACTGAAATGTCCATGAATCTCAGTCACCAGCACAGAAACAAAGTACAGCATGAGCTAGGAACATATGATGGTATTATCTTAGCCATGCAGAAGAAATCCTGTTTCCAAACAATAAAGGATGTCTGTCTGGGATTTAAAGACTAAAAAGCCACCTGTGGTACACTACAAGCTGCAGTATCTATGAATGTCTCACTTTGTAACTCCATACTTCAGAGTTTTCCCAGCCCTGCTTATCTTCTAAACACGAAGAGGGACTTTACTCTGAATTTATAAAGGGGAAACCTCAATCTAAGAGAATTTTTCTTCACTCTTTCTGCTTTTTCTTTTTCTTTTTTTCAGGGGGTGGGGAGCTTTGCTTTTTCAAGCTTAAATGCCATGTCTTCCAAGTCTCTAAGCCCAGTTCTGTAGATATATGTGCAGTGATCAAGGATTAGCCAGGCAATTGTAGGGGCTGAGATAACATCACAATTTACCTTCTTCTAGCAAGATGCGCTTCTCATAGCACTTAAACAGACCTCTTGCGTTTTCCTCGTCCTAGTCTCTTGCAAATACAAAAGAAAGAGGGTAGCACAAAACGCTTTCCCATCTTCTCCTCTCCATTTCCCCTGATCTGCTTGGCCACTGGAGGAATGATGGTTTGCTAGGTGGATTCCAGTGATTGCATGCAGCCCTGCGTAGCATATTTGTTCCCCTGCTCTGAATAGTTTTGTTCTTTGTCAATGTCCTTCTTCCTGTGAGGCCCTCAAAATTGTATAAAGAGATTATTTCGACAAATCTGAATGCCTTGTTCTAATTTGAATTTTTTACGTGCTTTAGCCCCTCCTAGAAGTGACGAAGAAAAGCAGATGATGGTTTGATTGGTTGCTTCATAAGCCACATGAGGAGCTACTCCATTTCTGCCTATTCCATGGATGGTTTAAGGTGCAAGAGATCCCCACTGTGAGATACAAATGAACAAAGAAGAAAAATTTGCATCAGATCTTGCTGATTTTATGGAGATATTATGCAACCTGCTTGGTTTTTCTTAGCTTGCTGTCTTAACCTCTCAGATGCCTCCCAAGTAGGGAACCTGGTACCGCAAATTCTTGCAGTTTCATGGCTTCTTGAATGTCTAGCTTTCCCTATATCAGTGGTGAAAGTCAGGGAATGAAGGTAATTAGAAAATAGTAATAATATTTTTGTTTTACCCTTGAAATAGTTGTATTTATTTATTAATAGTGTAGCTCCTCTGAACAAACTGGAACTTGTGTCTTCTTGTCTAGGCCGAAGATGAGAATTTATTTTCAAAAGTATTCTGCAAATTCAGTTTTCCAGTCAACTAACATGTTAGCTATTCCTCTGCTGCTCTGGGTACATCTGAACTGTTTCAAAGAAACACAGTTTTTCTTCGAGGAATAGCTACTAGTTCTGAGTTGAATAATCCTGATCATTATGGCCCTTCACCAGTTTTTCCTTTGGTGTCTAGTCCATGTCTTTTTTTTTTCCTTAGGGATGGCAAAATCAATCTCATTTTGGATTAAACTCATACTGAAACAGATATTTTCAAAACCGTCGTACACCTCTGAATTCCTTACCTCTCCTAATTCCAGTGGTATTAAAATATTGCAAGAACAGCTGTTGTTAT